GGGAAAGTTTTCTGGTGATTTCAGGGAGGTGAAGGCTTCATCCTACGCCATTTAGGAGCAGCTGAGGCATAATGCTTACGTCCAGTTAATTGGATGCATTGCTATAGGCACTTGAGAAATATGATAGACAGATGCATTCAGCTAGATAGATATCCCCTGGTGTAGCGAGCTGAAGTCAATTACGGAGTTAAATGGTGAAAGATTTGACCTGATGTCATTTATATCTCAAGTCATAATTAACACTTAAAGTTCAACTCTATGGCAATTTTCTTTTAATAACACTTAAAACCTATATAGAGCTCAAAGAATTGCACAAACATGATGAAAGATGACTTGAGTGGATGCCAGAATTTCAGCGTTATTAATTAATCCTCAAAACACCTTTGCAAGGCATATGGGTAGCACCATTTCTCTTCGGTTTCTCCTTTGAAGAGAAGTGGGGTTTGGCCAATGCCTCCCCAAAGTCTGTGGCACCTGGAGATAAGGATTGAGGCTTTTTCAGGTGTTAAACCAGCAAACACTCAGATCAACCTAGCACCCATCCTTTTGTCTTGATATATTTTCATACTTTACCACAATCTTTAGAAAGATTATGAACAAATTGCTTGTCAAATGTCCTGGGTTTTCCAATTAGAAGCTATGCAAATGCAGAAGAAAAAAATCTGTCATAAACACAGCTTCTGCTTCTAAGATTTTCGTGTGGATGGAATATGAATCTCACTGGGGGAAGAAACACACTCTTGGACCGAGACCTTGTAAGCTGAGATTCAGCTCGCTGCAGCTTTTTATGGTCAAGTTATAACTGCCTGAAAAGCAGGGGTTTAAAATGGAAGTGCTGACAAAACTTTTAAACTACAACAGTGGAAATGGCGCCGCAATAATTTATAATCTACAGGCAGCTTTGGATTTATTATCACAATGACAAATGCACTGTCATTGTTAATAGGATATTTCCCAGCAAGGACTTCTTGTTATGCAAGCCAGGTTCACTATGTCATGCAGCATGATAGCAATAAAGTCTACAAGAATTTGTAATGAACTTCAATTACTAATAGATTATGGTTAATGGGAAATATGTGCAGTAAAGATATGGGTTTTTATATGCGCCTTCTGGTACTCTACAAGGCGATGATTTATGCTACAATTTATGTTAACATTCTCCAGGACGAAAAAAAGCCTAAATTGGTGGAAAGCCACTCCATCCATAACAAATATTTAAGATAATTTTGCACATCATGTAAATGAAGATGTAAAATTAGATATTAATCCATTTCATTTTAGCATTTGTATTTTTATTAAAAATGAAGACTTTGCCCCACTGTGTAATGACATTAAAAAATCCTATCATGGGCTGCAAGCATGAATTACACCGCTGTAGAAATGGCGACAGCAACTGCGCTGTAAGTGCATTTGTTCAATTTGCCGTTGTAATTAACAGAGCAGTGAGAATATTTTTCTACGTATGATTTAAAGTAACAGCCCTGAAGCTGCTCAGGCAGATGCGTTTGATGCAGAGGGGATATATATGTGAAGAACGGGCTCCTTTGGAGGGGGTCAGCATCTTCCTCCCCCGTTTTTGCTCTCCCCCAGCCTTCCCGCATGGCATCGCTCCAAAGCCATGCCTGATCCGCAGGCATCGGGCTATTCCCTTCCCTGCACGGCAAACCTCCCGCAGGAATTACTTTGGGAAATAATCACCTGGTGCAGCATCAGAGCCACAAGCTCATGCTTACTTATCAGAGGGACGCAGGCTGCGTGTTTGCCTGCTATTTCCAAGGAGAACTCCTCCTCCTCCTCCTCCTCTTCCTCCCTCCCTCCCGCTTTTTTCTCCTGTACCTGTAACATAATCTATATATTCCAGGTTTATGTGCCAGTGAAATGAAAAGAAAAAAGGATGTCTCCCAATTTATAATAAAATACCGTTCAGAACCATCTCTGATGAACCTAGAGATGCAACGTTAAGGATTGCGTTTACCCAGAGTCACATTTCTGTAAAATGTTTACACTTCACATCTGAAACACAGTTAGCCAGAAAGGGGCATTCATGCATGAGGAGCTTGCAGGACCATTTCTGGTGTATTTTTAATACAGGTAGCCCGATGTCCATCTTTATTTCCATCAGTCGGTGTTATTCTGGTTTAAGACCATTGCTCTCAGCAAACCTCTGTATAAAGCCTATAAATTCACTTTCCAGGGCTGCAAGCGAGGATGACTCATCCCGTTGGCCCACACATGGGGTTTACAAAGAGCAAGGCTGGTCTGGAGATCTGCTTTTGGACTGAAATTCTGCTGGCTGAGATCAGGCAGACTTTCTGAGAGGAAAACAATTAATTCGGTGGGGAAAGCACACAGGTAAGCTCAAAATGGCAGTATAAATCCCCGTCCGTGGACAGGCTGGACTCCCCAAACACGCTCTGGAATAGCAGTATCTCACTGTGTAATTAAGGGTGATTCTCTCATTAAAATGTGGCTCTTCAAGCTATTAGGAAGTTGTTTGAGAGATTTGCAAAGACTCCTTCGGTTTTTATGGTCAAACGAGCATAAAATCGTGCTTCCCCAAACTCATTTCCTGCTAAATAATACTTACAGTACGTACTTCTTGGAAATGCATGTGTTGCAAATTTAAAATTAAAAATAATTTATCCCTTAAAGATGCTCTTCTGATTCAGTTTTCCCTCAGCCCCTTAATGGAAGCAGCTGCATATACAGAATGGAGTTTACTGTATTTTTTTCCTTCACCAGTTTTTAATAAAATTCTCCTCAGAAGTGAAAGCAATGGCAAAGGACAGCCCTGGCGTGTCTGGTTTTAGATAAGTTTTCTTCTCCAGCCTGGGGTGAAAGTTCCTTTTCCCCGGTGAATTCTGCTGTTAGATAGGAGCCAGCACATCTCCCCGCACCCAGCGAGCGCTCCCTCTCCCCGGCCTTTCCATTTCTGTTTAAAGGGAGGAAGGAACTCTCACGAGCATTCATATTGAATCTCCTTTTTTGTGTGTGTGTGTGTGTGTGTGTGGTCATACCCTCCTTTCATGTCTCCAGATCATCTCCTCTGCTCCTTGTCTTCCCTGCTGTCTCCCAAATTTTCAGAACAAACCTCCTCCCAAAAAGCTTTTTTCTTGTATTTTTTTACCTCTGCTCAACCAGAAAACAACAGGACATGCATGTGCATCTCGTTGATGGGGTTTGTTGTTGGATTTGGGTTGGGTTTGTTGGTTTTTTTGTCCTGGCATTTCTGTGGCTCCCAAAGATGCGTCACTCCTGACAGGGTTGATATGGCAATATTCAGCGGTCACCTCCTTCACACGCACCGTTTAGAAGAGGTCACTGACAGCACAAAAGAGCTATGAAAACAATTGTAACTTTAATTTGTTTCCTATTAGAAATGCATGCAGCAATCTGTCCTAATGAGAGATTTTCTTTCTTTCCCGCTTCAGCATGTCACCGTAACAGCTCACAGATATACTGAGGTCTCCTAATGCAGGAATCTGTACATAGCACTGTGGAAAAGCGGAGATAGATTTTGTTCTGTTCCACAGCTGAGAAATACCACGGGAACATTCTAAAATACTCTGGAATTAATATTTGATCAGCAGGACAAGTGTGCGTTTCAAACAATTCACTCTAAAATGAATATAAACAGCCATTAATGCCCAATATGGTCTCTTGTAAATCACTTCAAATCTTTAATAATCTATATTGTATAAGAAATATATATGCAAAAATAAAACATAATTTCTTGCAGCTAAAGCATTACCTAAAGTAAACCATTTCAACACTGAGTCAAATTATTTCAATGGCAGAAATCATACCTGTCTCACTGGATAAACTGAGTATTCAGACTATTAAATGCATTCAAGCAACTATACTGCATTCCACCATGCATTGTGCATTGTAGAGAGCATAACACTTCTTAAACACGTAAAATCATTTAGCAAAACAAATGCATCAACCACCAGAGCAGAGACAGCGCCACATGGAGAAGGGACCAAGGAGGTGAAGCACTTTCTTGCTGAACATCCTATACTATGCATTGGGCAGGTTAACTTGACATGATCCCGCTGAAAATGAAAGAAACCCCACTGAAACCTGTCAGTTTGGCATCAGAGTTCCTTTCTACATCTTCTTCTGTGTTCCAAAGCTCACAAGCCACGCGCGGCCCTTGCCGCCAGGCTAGTGAAAGGCTGCGACCAGGAGCTCTGTGCGTTTATCTAACAATACCAAAGCGCCTGACGTGACAGCAGTAGCTGATTCCTAACGACGGCTTTGCCTCAAGGCTCGTTAGTGAAATCCACCTCTCCAGGACGGTTGTTACCACTGCTGTGTCTCGACCATCTTCAATCGCTTGGTTCTTGCAGTGCCAGCGTGGACCTGTCTGCAAATCACGCTGCAGATGCAGCATCATAAAAATAAGGTGAAAATACAGGGAGAGGGAAGCAGTGCCATTAAATGGAGTTGGATGCGGAGGCAGGAGTGAGCAGCCATCACACATACAGAAGGTGCGAGGCCACTTTTATGGTAACTGGAGGTATGAGATTTGAAGTCACAGCAAGCTCAAGAGATCCCATTGAGCAGCCACCCAAATGGCTGGTTGTTTTGAGCCTCCACCTTTGCCAGCTGCACTGAGAGGCTGGGATTTGTTTATTTGGTCTGTAGAGAGGTTTTAGATAAAGATGATGAAACCGCATACAGTTCTTGATTGCTTTGTAGGAAATGGTCAGGTTTCTGCAGTGCCCGAGTGGATGATCAGAGTTACTTCTGATTATTCAACGTTAGTACGATAAAACACAGTTAACTGCTTGGTGAGTAACACATTCACAGATTTGTACAGAATTAATCAGGTATTAAAGCTCACTTACAACAACAGATATTAATACTGATTTCTTAACAGGCTCCAAAAATTATATTCAGTACTGAAGTAAACTAAGCCATTTATAAAGTATGAGAAATATGTTTCAGCTGTTAACAGGTTCTGACTATTTGCTTTGACTCAAGAAGAGGTTAAGTCATGGCTCAATCATTATTACACTCAGGTTGTTATTAAAAAGCACCTTCCCATCTCTTTTTTCACTGCATTCGGGCTTTCTTAACTCTTCCATTACCTGACGCTTTAATTCAGGAGGAGCGGTTTTAGAAAACTGGCAGGTTTCTGTCAGAAAATCCAGCAACAGCTCCCCATCCTTGTTCCCTTCAATAAAACAGCTCGTTATGTCCATGTAGGATGGGAGCTCATGCAGCTGGTACTTCAGCCCGGCTGAATCCAGTATCGTTTTCATGTCAGCAGAGGAAACGTAAGAGCAGAGGTCATTTAAAGGGAAGGAAGACCCGAACTTCTTCCACAGCGTTTCCCAGCCGCTGGTTCCTGAGAGATAAACCACCAGAAAAATGCTCAGGAATAAGGGAAAACACTATTTGAACAAATTTGTGATCATCTGGGCTTTTTAGCAGTAGTTGTTGTTGTGAGCAGGGTCTCTCCGGAGTTGGATGTGTGTCCTGAGGCATGGAAGACCAAATCCTCTTCTAGTCCTTCACCTAATTACTTTGTGGTCAAGCTACACATGAGCTTCATTGAAGCACTTATTACCAGTAAACTATCTCTCTGCTACATGAAACACATGGGGTGCAAAAACTCTGATCACATTGTCCATGTGGCTGGATGTGTGGTGGAGAAAGGGGTGGGAGGGACAGAGCCCGGGGTGAAGCTGCACCATCCTCCCAGCCTTCATCCTTCGCTCCCATGCTGTTGGGCATGGGCAGCGAGAGGGCTGCCCCTCACCCCAAGCAGACCTCTCCAGTGGTGCCAGAAGGATGTTTTTGGCTGTGTATTATCTGGGTGTGCAAAGATGAAGGGTGAGGAAGACAAAGGCTCCTGTAGCACCGCTGTCACCTCCAGAACTGAGCCCGTGCCGAGCATGCACCTCTTCTCAAGGGACGTTTTACAAAGAAAACCAGATGGGTAAGCTGAAAACTCCCCAGATGTGCCTTCAGATATTTATTTCCCCTCACCTTGGATCTGTGATTCAGCATTTCTGCTATAAATCATTGATAAAAGGATCACCCAGAATGACTGGATGGGATGAAAATAACTTGGAGCCTAATGAGCAGCTCTTGAGAGTTATGACTGTAAATCTCCATAACTACTAAAACCAGTTGCTCGGCGGTTTTGCAAATGCTTTATCTGCAAACAGTTATTTATAGTCAAATAAACAGTTTGGTGTTTAGAAGAGAGGCTACAATATTTTCTTTCACCTGGTGGAAATTGAATGCAGAGCACTAATTGCAGAAAATTTGCTGGTGTCAGTGTTGTGTGACTCAGTGCCATCTCTGAGCCGAGCAATTATACACTACCTGAACGCAGCATTATTATAATAGCTCTCAATAGGCTCAGCATATGGCACTACTTTTGTTTTCAAGGCGATGTAAACAGATTTTTTAAACGTCTTAAAAATAACACCACATAGCTCTTGCAACTCGCCGGCTCCCCCGGCAGGGATGGAGCAGGAGGGATTGCAACCTCCACTGACTGACCAAGCCCTCTGCTATCAATCCTGTTCCCAGACTGTTTTTTAATTAACGTATCCTAATGTGTTTGTGCCGGAGATGACATTACCTTCATTTTTTGAAGTGAGCTTTGTTCTGTTTATCTTTCAGTACCTCTTTTTGCTTCAGTGCTCATTTTCATAGCACTTCTTCCTTCCCCTCTCCGTACTCTTCTTTCCCCCCAGGTTTTCCCCGTCCTTTCCTCTCTGCTACTCCGAGCCCTATTCCTCTCTCCCATTTTCTTGCTGGCCCCAGCAATTTCTACTCCATTCTGCTCCATCAGAAAACACAGAGTCACCTTGCCCAGAGAGGACTGCGAAGACTTTTCATGAATTCATGATTTTCATGAATGTATTGTTTAATCACATTAATTTTGAATAGACACATGTTCCTCCCTGTATTCACATTTCACGAATATCCAAAGGGACAGGTTAAGCAACTGGAAAAGAGTTTCAATTAAGTATATGCAGCAATAGTCTGATACTATGATCTATTCTTGTTCAGTCCAAGAATAAGGACAATAACTCAGATCATTTAAAATACAGATTTCTTGTAGGGAACTGCTTGAAAACACTTCAAACCAAAAACATTTTGGAGAAAAATAGTTTGAATAAACTCAGGTCAGAGAAGCGTCACTTTGTTGTGGACACTTCCCGAACACAAAAAAGGAAATTCATCAAACACATTACATTTGGCAGACATGGCCAAATTCAATAAAAAAAAAATGAGCTTAAACCTCTGAACAAATAACACTTCACATCCCTGACAAAACTATCAGATGTGACTGTATACACAACTAAACTTTCCACAGCTTGTGAGGCAAATCAAAGGCTTTCTAGAGTCAAATCAGACCCCAGCATTGCAGTATCTCTTGTGTACCTTGCCCACAGTATTAAAAGATCGTCATTTACTCTGCTCCCGCATTTTCCTGCTGGATTGACCACAGAGCATCTCTCTCAGATCGGAAACAGCCTAAGAATGCCGTTTTCCACCCAAAATGATGATATTAAGGAAATGGGCAGTTTGAGAAGAAAATGAACCATATGTGCACTAACACCTGCTGTATGGCACAGCCGAGCCCCTTCGTAGCCGTTTGCTTAATGCAGCAAGTCTCCAGGAGCGAGATAATGTGGTGCCCAGCCCGAAAAGCCTTTTACAGAAAATAGCAGAGGCTGGAGGAGCTGTTGCGAGCGAGAGCTGCGGGACGGAGCCTCTCGCCCGCTTCAGGGCTCTCTGCTGCCATCCATCCCTGGCCAGGCTGTGGGATGGGGAAGGGCAGAGGGCGAAAGAAAGGCGTTTTGTGCCCGTGACATGGCTTTGCTGGCTCACAAAGCCTTCGGCTTCACAACCTGCAGCACGGAGCTGCGCGGATGCAGGCGGCGTTCAGATTTCAATGGATGTAGGTGAATGGACACCGTTTATTACTCAGCCAGTTCACCTCTATTGGTGGTAAAGGATATTTCAAATAAAAACCTGCCTTGGTTTCTAGCTGGCCTGTGTTGAACTTGCAGGAACCCCAATGTCCTCATGGCTCTTGCCTGACTGAGCAGCGCTGGTAGAAAAGCTCTCACCTGAGACCAGGATAATGAGCAGCTTTGCCTGCGCTTCCAGGAGGCTGTGGAAATAGCGGACGGTCGCTGGGATGTCTTCTACATAATACAGCATCTGGAAAGAGCAGAAATGCTTACAGAGATATGGTGAGGTCCTGGTGAATATTATAACTGGCACCACTAGGTAAAAGCAACCAAATGGTGGCAATCTTGACAAAAGACCAGCAGGATGACAAGATGCGTCAGCACAACGCCGGGCAGTGGGCTCACGCTGCAAGCTCAGGGCTGTCACTGCTTTGCCTGCTGCTCCAGGACCGAGCTCATGTTCATTCATTAACCTGAGATAAAAAGACTTGCCTTTTTTAGGAGTGAAGATAGCTTGTAATGGCTTCAGTAAACTTGGAAATACAAAGGCAATTTCACAGAGAGGACAAGGAGCTTTGAAAACACAAGTTAAAATGTATTTTTAGTTGACTGCCACCCACAGCCTGGTTAATAGGACTACTGTGCTCAAAGTTGCTTTGCTGTAACTCATCCTTCATTTTTGCAGTTCGCTTATGCTTATGTACTTTAAATTACAGGGAAATAAACTCACCTTTCTTCCCCTTAGAGTGGATAATGAGGTCACATACTGCATGCATACTTTTAGCAGCCAAGTCTGACAACATTTACTTTACAGAGAATTTTACCTGGATCATGTGAATGAAGTCCCATTTTTTAGACTTCTTTTCTGCATTCATTCGACTTTCATATTCATAAGCTGTCTCTTCATGCCAGGTAAACTTTACGTTCTCGAGGCTTGATGTCTCAGCCACACGCTCTGAAATACAGGAGAAGGCAGGACAGAGTTATCATCTCAATTGCAAATACGGGACTGATTTCCACTCAGAGCTTTAATACATCCAAAAGTCATATTTGGGCAGGGAGTTTTGGTACCACTTTAACACAGCAGTGGAATATTTAAAACCTTGAGCCCGTATGTGAGAACGGGGCTGTAAAGGTCTTTGTAGATGAAGTCTTAAGAGGGTCTGATGCTTTAATCTTTGCGCCCTTGTTTGGGCTCCTCCAATCTTTACTTGATTTAAAAAAAAAAATAAATAAGAAACTCTTCAACATGACTGGCTTAAGCTGCACTAAAAGATGTTGGCTGGGATAAAGAGTTATGAGGCCATGAACAGCACATTTCATGCTGAATGGCAGAAGTGCTGATGACCCCTTCATAGGTACCATGCAAGATCCACGTGGCTGAGCAGGAGCCAGGCCATGGCAAAGGGTTTTCCAGAGACTGAACAAAGAAATACAGGGGCTCGAGGATGGATCAAGGGGGTTGTGTTTTGAAGAGAAAACACAATTAAAAGCTCGAGAAGGGCAGAGAAAGCAAATGGCTCACTCTGGGAATGTGTCACGGGCATGGTGGGAGAGGGAGCAAGGGCCCATCTCCTGACTTTTAGCTTGTGATGTGTTCAGATAATTTTTCAAAAGCTCATAGTTTCGGCCAATTGCTTCAGGTAAAAGGGATAATAGTGTTTTAAAGCAAAGACCAGTATAAAGAGTGACACACAGTGTGTTTTCAGACCTTGATACAAGGCATATCCAGCAACTGAGGAAAGCAGAAAGCTGGAGAAGTGGATTCAAGGAATAACTTATACCAAGGGCTTGGCTCATCATTGCGTTTCTTTGCTTTTATGGGAGCAAAACTGAGGGATAATTTCATATTTTAGGGGATGCTGGAATACTAATGTCCATCTGTTGGCATATGGAGCTCATCGCACTGTGCTCCTGCCTGGTGCTCGGGATTGCTCCAGGACAAAGCTAGCCCTGATGCGATTCCTGTGCTTCATGGAGTTGTTAACATAAATTTAAAACTTACATGGCCCAAAGGCAGACTGAGCCTTAGCTATAGAACACATGTTCACAACAACATGATTTGCTAAGACCAGCGCCTTTACACCGCTAATCACAACGTTTCTCCTTTTGGGCTCTGATTAGGACATATACCCATCGGACCGATGAGAAATGCTCCATCAGTGCTTATCTCCTCTCTTTTACAGCTGGAAATGGTCCACCCCTTTCGGATGCTGCTGCTGTTACTCTGTTCGCTTCCATTTATCAGTCACTGGCCCCGGCGCTTGCAGTTCAGATTTAATTTACTGTTTTAAATTCAGGCTTCGTTCAGCACCATCACAAATAATCTGGTGCAATCTGGTTCAGTTCAATTGCTAGACAGTCTACGAGGAGACACTGGGAAGAAAACTGAATTGCTTGCCAAGGTGGTCTTTTAAAGTCAACATTTCGGAAAGGGCAAACTCATTCTGATTATGGGAAGTTTCTGCCCAAAGATTCATCTGAAGCCAAAATGTATCACCCTAACCATTTTAAAAAGTTTTCCTTAATTTTCTCCTGGGTTCAACCCAGATTGTTTTCTGGGTCAGAAGCCAGTCGTGTGCCCTGGACAGGTGCCATCAAAACCGGACATCCTGCAGTTGTGCCGTGCCGTGCAGGCAATGGCAACGCAGCTCAGTTGTGGGGCCACCAACACTCCAACCATGGTCCCCAAGGGACTTCACCTGGACATGGACCAGGAATGAAGGGAAACCACAGCCTGGCCATGGGGCTTTTCGGGGCACCTCCAACGTACAATGCAGCCTAAGATAAACCTCAGTTTGTCATCGCTGTACATCCCAGTATGAAGTTTCTCTTGTGAGCGTGGCTTCTCCTTCCCGAGGAGAAAGTATCTGGTTAGGCAGAAAACATAACTACCAAATCCTCAGAGGCACAGATAATGTTTCCAATTCTCCCCGGAAAATCTTAGGGCTCAGAAACCCAATTAATGATACCTTCTGGGGACATGATTAATTACCAAATAAGAAAGTTTAAAGAAAGAAATTCAGATGAATATTTCATTTCTAGTTTAGCATAAAACTTAAAATAAGGACAACGTCTTATATTTTCTCTAACTTTCTTCTGCAAAGAAACTCACTGAAATAGGATGGGACTGCCAGTTACTTGGTGGTAGGTGGATTCAGAGGAACACCAGTCTCACGTAGCCTATGGTCCACAGCCCAGACAGGACAGAAATGCTATGTGCAAGTGCCCAAATTGTCTTATAAACAGAGCAGATGCTCAGTTGCCCATCATTCCCCATCTCAGCCTGGAGCAATGTAAAAGCTCCTGGGATTTTGCACGAGCCATCTGTTCAAAGATCAGGTCCGTGTAGTACAGAGAGATATAAAAAAAAAAAAAAAAAAAGTTTTTCCTGGGAGCCTTTGGTGCTTCCAGTGACTCTGACCTCCCTCACTACAGGGAGAAAGGGATTGTTACTTTTTTTCTTTTTCCCCCTTCAACTTCCACAAGTTGCTTAATACTGGGAATGTTTTGCTTTTAAGGACTTAAGCAAGAGTTGGAGATTTACAGTGTGGGGTTACAGCCTGGTATTTACTATGGTTTGGAGCATTTCCAGCAACGCATACTGCTGACGAGGTTGATTCATTACTGCCACGTCCATTCAGCAGCAGCTTTCCAGCAAGGTATGCTCTGCTCCGGGCTGCTCACAGCCTGGATGGAGTAGCTGGTGTCACCTCCATACAAGACCATAATTACCTGCTAAGGTAAAGCCTGGTAGGTGTTATTTCAGTGATAGATAATCAAACTGTGGATTGATATTTAATGCTCGCTTTGTGGGGCAATTTGGCCGAAGCACCCCTGCTAACATTCAATTCTCCTTGGAAAATGCTTGGCTTTCCTTCACGAATGTTGCTCAGACCTTTGGGCTGGTGGGAGGAAACAAGCTCTAAGCCACAGAGCACGCAGCAGAAATCTTTCGTATCCATCTTGCTTTCCTTTCCATGTTTTCTAATGCAAAGGATGGCAACTAATTTAGTGCAACACTCTGAGGTTTAGCTATTTGTTATTTGGAAACGATTTTTAATATATGCAAGAATTACCATGAGACACTAAAATTTTCCCTTTGACGTTGAGGAAGGATCCTGATTCGGTGCAAGTTGAAAAGCTGTCTGAAATGTGGGGATTTAACTCTGTTCCCATACAATCACCCATCAGTTCCCATCTTCCTTAGCTTTTAAAGTTTGTCTAGCCCAAGAGTTTGCCACGCAGAGGTCTTTGCAGTGTGAGAGACTAAGATTTTAATGAGAGACTGAACATTGTTGAAAAGCAATGATGGCAAAAAAAGCATAAAATAGTGAATTTTAACTTTGAAGAGCCAATTCTGCCAAGAAAGCATTTGAATATGGGGTCATCTAGCATTCAAGTCTTTTTAACACATTTAGCATAGTTATTGTAAATCTAATTTATTTAATGTAAAAATACCTTTGTACTTGGAGATTTGGTCAGCACTTGGCTCTATCACATCATTGTTGATGGTGACGCCTGGATACCTGGCTTGTACTTTTGAGAGGATCAGCAGGTCGATCTCACCTAGGGAAACAGGCAACACGACACGCAAGATGAAAGCAAAGCTCAGCTAAATGTTGTCTCCACCATCATCACATCGCCAGTTTTGAAGCCCAATGCCTGCCATACACGTACAGAAAATGTATCACACAGGTAGATGTAGATGCTTTGGGTTCTCAGCAGATTGCCACTGAGGGTTTAGCTCTAGGATTTGAGAAAAATTTAAATATCAGTCCCCACTATCTTCATTCCTCATCTCTGATTACCACCATCAGTGCCAAGGGAAAACCAGAGTCACGCACGTGGAGTGACCTCATATTTTCTGGACTTGCCTAACTTCCCAGGGAAGATCCTAAATTACTCTGATGGTGCCAGTTCTGATGGTCCCAAGTCACCAGCAAACCTAGCAGGATTTCTTTGGAGTCAGTAAGAGCATTTTTAATGCAGCATCTCACTGGTTATCAGGTCACGTGGGTGAGGGAGAAGAGAATATGTGTTTATACTGGAATCAGAAACAACATTCATGTCTGTTTGTCTTTACTGTCCTATGACTTTTTCCATAATTAAGATGAATAGTGCACATAGCATTTATGTTTACCTAATCCCTGTTCGCAGAATACCCCAGAGCTGACTGTACTTTCTTTGTGAGGAACAGTTAGTTCTCTCTGGATACTGCTCAGGCTAGCTGCAATTATTTTTACTGATGGAAGAACCAACAGATCTAACATTTCAAAATTTAAAAGGAACTGTCATCGCTCATGGTCACCACTCCCCATCCACAATATAGGAAGCTCAGGGAGATGATGCTCCTGACCGAGGCATGGGTCCACAGACGATATCACCCTGGCTTGCTTAGCTTGCTTAGGGCTTGCTTCTGCTTATTGTGCTCAAATAAATTTTAGGTGGAAAAAATAACAGAAGAATAAATTTAGGTAGAAAGAGTGATGCAGAGGGTAACTGTGGTGAATAATGGACCCAGGGGTCATGTTGCAGATAAATATTGAGCTTTGTCCTGAAAGATGTACTTGTGCTTGCACACAACTCCATGCGATAAAATTCCCTACAAATGAACAAAATTGTGCATTCAACAGAAGATCGTGCAGCGAATCCTGATGGCCAGACGGGCCCTTGCTGAGGGACCGTGGAGGGAGTGCTCCCATTGTATTCGCACGGCCTCTGCCCATCCTCATGATTTTCAGTGCCCCATGTTCCCACCACGTCAACGTTAGCTCCATTATACAGAAGATCTGAGGTACAAAATGAAAATATTGGGGATTAAATAGCCGTAATGTGTTCCCCAGAGCTCAGCCCAGCACACCGGGTCCTCCCCAGGAGGGTCCTTTTCACTACAAAGAGCTCCCTGCCTGCTTCTGGCCCCACCACACATCACCACAGGTCAAAATCAGGCACCCCAGCCCCGGTCTCACCTGCTCATTAACACCTCAAGAATTTAACATAAAAAGTGTGGGAGACTTCAATTTTTTCAGATTTACATGTTTTTCTTAAAGCAATTAATAACACCAAAATTCACGTGGCATCTGTGCAAGCACATTCTTTGAGGGAGAGAAATTGAATTTCTGAAGGAGCAGAAACAGCTGCAGCTTCGCTATCACTGCAAACCCTGTATTCTGTTGAAAAACCGGAGCAAAGCCAGTCGTCTGCAGGCTGCCGTGGTAAAATTTGGGAACACAGAATTTGTCATGAACTACAGCAGTATTTTTGATTTTCGGTTGCTTTACCAACTTTCTGTAAAATGGATTAGCCCTTTGAAAAGGCTGTGCAGGTCCTGATAAAGGAAAACTGAATTTTGCATTTCCACATGCAGATAGGTTAATACATTCCCTTCCACTCTTCCGTGGCCAAACCACCCTTGTATTGTTTTTAACCAAAAAAAAGCACCCCTTTGATTCATAATTTAATCCACAGCCTTAATTGACTTCAGTTAGCTCTTTTATATGCAAACAAGTGTCCTGAGGCATTTTACAGTCAAATCTGTGGCAGCTTGCATTATCAACAATTTGGCAATTAGGCTATCCAAATTATTTAAACTCTCCAACACAATTACCTTTTAAAGGCTACCACTATGTTCACCATTAAGTTTCTAATTAAACATTTTACGTAACGGGATAGTTTATAGCACAGTTGCTACTTTATAGCAGCGTTGATGACTTTTATGGTTTTTAAAGGTACAGAGTGCTGCGCGCTGGAGTGTGAACTTAATAAGGGAGAGGCTGTGGGCGAAGGCAGGCGCGGTAGATGTGCGGGTGTAATGGGGTAGGATGCTGCATTAAATGGTTTGCTTGTCTCTCAAGGTGGAAAAGGGGAGAGGAATCGCTTTCCTCCCACGATCCCTCCCCGCGAAGCACCAGGGGGATGGGGCCAGGGCAGCAGCTCCATCCCTGCCCTCCGCCATCAGCCAGGGTCAGCTGGGGGCATTTGGGAATTCGGTGCCTCCCGACCTCCCAAGGACCTGTGGTGGGAACAAGCTGGCAAGGAGCAGGGTTTTGGTGGTGTAGGGGTTTTTATATCACAAAATGAGTTTTTCCTGCGTGTTATTGATTGAAAATCCATCACGCTAAGCCAGAGTGTCCTGGGTTAGGGAGTTAAGTACTTCACTAAGTAAAGTGTTCATGTTAAAAAACCCCATTTTTTGGGGGGGGGGGGGCAGAAGAACAGTTTCCTTTATTTGGAGAGCAGTGTTCCTACTCTGCCACACTGTCTGTTTTATAACTAACACCCATCATTTACATACAATTTTTTTACTTATTAGGAGAGATTGACAAAGCTGAGATTAGTCTTTGGAGATGGTATGACTAAAGCATTTAAACTAAATTAACTGTTCTTATAAAATTTAAGTTTGATGACTTAACGGGCAGAGCAGAATTAGAAAACATAGGCTTTAATTATGGGGGAACTTAAGCAAGAATTTAATGAGAAGCAGCCACTTGATGATATCGGTATTGTTTTTCCACCCAGTGAACTTCAGATAAGAGACTTATTTCTTCTGATTTCTTCTGGAGCTATGTTCAGCTCCAGTGTCTGGGGTGACAGTAGCTCCAGGAGGAGCTTGTGCATTGACAGTGGTCTGCAAGAACGTAGAGGCAGCTGAGGCGGTCACAAAGCAGGGCAGGAGGCAGCAATGATGGGCAGTTACCACATCAGTAAATAGTTACAGGAAAGAGTAATTGCAATGCAAGTAATTTTCTGAGGAATCTAAGACATTACATCGCTGCTTTTTTTTTTTTTTTTCATAGAAACACTATGGGGCAGCTCAAACTTCTCTCTCCCCTTCCTGCTGCAGAAGGAGGCTTCTCACGGAGGACATATGAGAATCAGGGTGGGCAGGCACAAGCTGTTTTCAGAAGATATGGGCACACACCAGCTAACACCATCTGTCCCCTGGAGCTGACTTTTCAACAAAATAATTATTTACCACTTGATCGTTTCTGCAATTTGTAATCCTCTATTCTCTGAAAAAACGGGAAAAGCATACCAAGGTTGAAGTCCATAACATACCTGCTCCACCACCAACGCTTAAAATATTGATTGTAGACTTCCCATTTCCAATACTGAAAAACATTATTTATACATTTTAGGAGAGCTACCCAGCAGAGAGGGTTACATGCATTATGTGAAGCAGCGGAGATCCCGTGAAGACTAAAACCTGCAGGACGAAATCAAATGCAACGTGCACATGTCCAGGCATGCCTATGACCGGGTATCACATTCAGAACTCTGCTCTTTGGAGAGTCCCCATTTCCAGTTATTTTGGCAATTTCTAGAGGAGTTCTGCTATAATTAGGAGTGCACAGAAGCAGAAGCAGGTCCGTGCCTTCTCCATGTCTGCGCTTCGAGGACCAGAGACATCCCTGTGTCTGGACCAGCAGCTTAAAAAATTACATTTTGCAAAATGGGGAGAAAGAAAGGTGAGTGTAACACTCTTAAAAACCCTTAACGAAGCTTCGTCAGCCCCATAAGTCCCTGGGCCCTGAGAAGGGTCTCCCCAGAGCCAGGACTTCACCCACGCTGCCTGCTGCCCCAGCCAGCCTGCAAAGCCAGGGGTCCAGCAAAAAACACGTGCCGGCAGGCTAGGCAGCAGCCTTATTTACACATACTAGAGAGAGCCTAAATATTACCTGAAAAGATTCATTTTAAAAAGATGCTTCCAATCAAATTTAATGTTCGAACGTAGTATCTGTTACTGCATTTTAGAGTCGATTCAGGGTAAGCACTCAAGGAAACAGTGCAGCCTTATCTCCTCCCTGCTAGGCAGGCTCGCGCCGAAGAACAGCCCTTCAGCGGCGTCTGTAAATGAAATCTCCAGCCAAGCCCTACCAGAGACCTTCAGATGGGGCAGCCGGCAGGGAACAGCAATCTGCCTCTCGCAGGCATCCCCCCGAGCCCGTCCCCACCACAGGACCATGCCACGGATCTGTCCTCCAGCTCCATGTGGCCACCTCCATGTTACCTCGCTATCTCGGCCGGCAGCTGCCTCTCCACGAACTCCCGCATGCACTGGTGCTCAGTCGAATTCATGAGGAAGAGGCGGAAAGACTGGAGGTATCTGGCGGGGTCGGTAAGCAAGCTCCTCATGGGCGATGCCATGCCGCAGGTTGGAAGGGTGCGGGAGGGGACAGGTTGCTCCCTGCAGCTCTTCTTTCAGACCTAGAGAAGGAATAACAAACGCCGGAGAGGTAAAAACCAGCGCGCACTTGGACTTTGCTCTGCCTCCTCGGCCCTGCTGCTTCATCTTAGAGCATTTAAAAAAGTATAATGTAATTTTGCAATAGAAGCTGTAAATCAGGTTTGACCAGCAAAGGGTAATATATCATCTTTAATCTGCGCAGAGGAAATGCCAGCATTTTTTTAACTGTGCTGACACAGGGCTCTGTTAAAACCCAGTAAAAGGGTCTTTAGTCAGTTCTTAAATAAAAGAAAAATTCCCCTATTTCTTGAAGGCATGGAGAGGCTCCAAAGACTTGGTCTGGATTAGAAGAAAGTGCAACACACATCTCCAGAGATGCTGGCAGATGTCTCTATCTGTTTTTTTAAGCGTTTGATGTTCTTAAAGGGAATGCTGATGGTGGGGTGAAAACAATGAAAACCTTATAAATGCACTCTTTATTTTTCTAACTCCTCTGAAGATAATGGTATGATTCCCATGGGCTAAGTAGTTAATTCACAAAAGCCACGTGAGTTACTGGAATGGATGTTGTGCTAAACCCGGCTTACACAGAGTCGGGAGCGGGGGAGGCAGAGCGTGCTACCGGGAAACGTTGAGCTGTACCTTGAAAAGTGCACAAAGACGTGTTTAAGCCCTCTTAAACTGCAGTTTAAGTCTATCTTGTCTTGTCCTAACTGGCAAGGAGAAAGAGGTCCTCTTCCTTCTTATGGGTCCTGGGCTTAAGGACCACACTGCCGCTCTTACCATCAGATCTGACTTCCCCGCAGAGGTTATGTCCCAGCCACCTCTCGTTTTTACAGCTCCCCTTGGACTGTCTCCAGCCAAGCCCTGTTGCTGTCGAAGCGCAGCAGCCAACAGCCGAAGCCTCCCACCCGCTGAGCTCCCCCGGCTCCCCACGCAGCTGGGACGGCGTCCCTCACCCCACCGAGCCCCCCGCTCCCCTTTGCCTTCACTCACCTCTGAAATACAAACCATGGATTTTCCACACTACTTTTCTTGTCCCTTTGAATTATAAGTCTGTCCTCAGTGGTGCTCCCAGTCCCTTGCCGCTGCACATCGAATAACAACAGTCTCGTCCCTCCCCTAAATCATGAACGGAAACACAAAAGAGTATCAGGCTCGGGTTCATACTTGTCATTGCCTCCCTTTCTGGCAGTGAGCTGGTGATGACTTTTCTGACTAACTATGCAACCAGTTTTCCACCCACCCAATAGATGCCTCATCGAGGCCACGTCTTCCTCACTTGTTTATGAGAACGTCATACCAGATGGTGCCAACCCTAAAGGCTCTGTATAGGAGCGACTCCTTCTCCCCTGTATGCTGGGACAGTTACAGCACCGGCAGAAAGATGGGCTTGGCACAATGTCTCCCTCGCATCTCCACGTTCCCTGGCCATCCCCTTATTCTATTTCTGGTGCTCACTCCTTTTCAAAGGACAATTTCTAGGGACAGCTGTCTTGCCAAGCAGCTGCAAGTCCCCAGCTCCTCCTGCTCCTCCTGTCTCCTTTCCAATGATAACGTGAGTTGCTTGGCTTTGCCCACCTTCCCTTGCTGCACATGCCAAAGGTAACATCCAACTCATGACACGTTTTGGTTTTGCATCCCATGAGCCACATGTCTGCACATTCCAAAGGTGGTGATGCACCTCCTCTAGCATGTGCTGCTACCAGTGCCATTAGGTCAATTAGCAATGCCTGTTAATTGCCTTCCTTGAGACAGTCCCAAAGACCAGCAGCAACCTCCGGAGCAGGACCCAAGGTGTGATTTCAGACCCACACCACCGCCGAGGCACAGCTGGCTTTTGGTACGCTCCTCACACCCTAGCCCCACAGAGAGCAAGGATGCTTTTGAAGGAAAAACCAGCAAATCCGAGCATGTTAAACAGTAATGGTGATGAAAGGGGCCTGGTAACAGGCAGATGGGAGAGCTTTAAAAACTTTGCTGGGTCCCAGATGCCCACGAGGGCCAGTTCAGAGCAGCATGGGAAGGCGATGGTGTCCCCCCCCGGCCACGGAGCTCACCCCCTGCCACCTGCTTCAGTGAGCCTGGTGGTGTTAGATAAGAGAGGCGATCTGGCCCATGCATTAGCCACAGACCAACAAACACAGCTGAATTGACTCTATTCGTTGGAGGACAACCACTTGCAGGGCAGTGTCTGCCTCTCAGGCTGCCCACCCAGCCCAGCTGGCACACCTGAGCCCTCTGGCAGGTACGCCGACACCCCCGGATCCTTCCCCAGACGGTCATCACTGGAATCCCCAGCAAAATCTGAATTAACCTGGGGAAAACAAGTATGAATTTTGTGAGAGAGAATAAGGGACCAAACATCTGGATGTACATCAGGTGAGAATTACTGCTAACCCACCCTGAAAATAATGTGGTATATTCCTTGTTTACCCATTCCTCTGCTCTGCCCAACTCCTCACTTTTTTACTTTAAGTGCGTAAACAGGCTTGGCCATTTGCCACTAACATATTTTACTACTTTCAATCTTGCAAAAATATTTTTCAGTTAATAAGAGGAGATATAGATGATTGACCTTTTTACTATGCCTCCCTCTACTTCCCGTGATCTAATTTGTAGACGTCCCCTTCTCGGCAGTCTCTAATGAGCAGCTGAGATTCGTTTTCATGTTAGGTGCAGTTCAAGGAATTTGTCTCATTTATTTCATTACGCTTCTGACTGTTTGAATTTGCCCCATTTATTTCATTATGTGTTTTGCCGTTTGAACTGTGGCCAGTTAACTTTAAAAATGAGTAAAGAGAAGGAAAAGAAGGATTTTTTTTTTTTTTCTGAATCGGGCCAATAGAAACTTTTGGATAATAATGTTCACTTGGGCACATCCCCTTCAGTGATAATCCAAATTTATACATAACTCCCTAAAAAGATTGAGGAGTTTCAAAAATGGACTTTGTGTTTACGCTGCAGTTGCTTGATCCACCCCTGGTTTGCGCTGGTGCTAGCAGAATTAAACCTGCTTTAAACTCCCTGTAAAACTCTATAAACCTTTCCCGTGAAGCCAGAAAACAAAGCGAGCTTGCCCTTCGCTGTAAACTATTTGCAGCAGGAGCTTGGGCTTATTAGCACAGGATTACAGCTTGTCAGTGAGCTCTAACAAAGCAGGGATCCCTCTTGGAGGAGTTTAACGCGATCTGCTAAGCCCGCGCTTGTCTGGCTGGCGGCCGTACTTACGTGCGAGCAGTCTGTGCCTCCCCAGGCCGCGGGCTCCCATGGCACGATGCCGCTGCGGTGCTGGGGACGCGCTCCC